CCACAATGTTTTTTCGTCTTTATTTTTTTAAATTTTCTTTTGTTTTTGCCTGACAGATCTTCCAATGTTGGAAATATAGTATATGGATATCCAGGGAGGTGCAGTGGGTAGAGTGACACTAGGATTCTGGCACCCTATGTTTGAATCCCTGTTTGGCCTTGGAAACCCAAGGGATGGGAGTGAAACTGATAAAACCACTCTTTAAACATCACATTTACTTTGAAATCCCTATTGGGGCCACTGGGTTGCTTCTGACTTGATGGCAACATATTACACAGTGAATTTTGTCTTGCTTTGAAGTTAATGCTCCCTTATTAGATGGAAAGATATGCTATTGGCTCAGGGCTGATTCCAAATTTCAGTGGGCCTCTGGGCATGGCTTTACTGGTGGCTCTCCCGCCACCACATGGCTGTTCAGTTCCCCTCCCGGCACCACTTTCGCTCTTACTCAGCACTGCAGGTGGAGTCAAGTGCCAGCTCAATTTCTACAGGAGTGATACCATCTGCTGGGGAAACATATGGGACAGCCAGTAAGAATAGTTGGCTGCCATATGAATGGCAGTGCTTCTGATTAGGAGCTAAACCCCTATCCAGCTGTGAGGCCACCTGCCCTCACAGATTTCCCATGATACTGTGCCATCATGATGAACTTTGGCCTGCTTGATCATCTAAGATGAAAGCTGTGGAGCCATTCTGGCTGGTGTGAGAAGGTGGAAACAGACTTAGTCTGAAAAAGTTAGGTTTCTAGGCTCTGATTTAAGTGCCTCTAGTTGTGGAATTTCCATGTACTCTGTCGTATCAAAACTAGATGCAAAATCAGCATGCATGATGCAAGATCAGATTCCATAAACATGTCTAATTCTAATTGCCTTCCAAAGTCAGCTAAACCACCACTGGCATATGCTGATTCCTATATTAATTATGTGATGAATGAAGAATTATTCTCTTTTAACTGTCCCTGAATTGCCTGCAAGTCTGTTTCATTGGAGGATTCCAACTTCCTCGTATGAAGAGAAGACAGAAAAACCTGGGCAGAGCACTAAATCCTGCACCATAGTGAAAAATTGATAAAAGGGTGAGTTGGGAGAAAACAAAGTGGTTAGAATTAAAAGTGTTTTCCTTGTTCACATGTTCCAGTTACAGAGATTGTACTTGCCTGGATTCAGGTCAAGGCTTGCATCTCCAGCTTTCTTGCTGCTGTTCAGTCCTATGTCAGGAGCACTGGTTTTGAATTAGTCTTAGCTCTCCTAATTTCATTTTGGAACATGGCTATCTGCTTAGGGCTTTATTTTGTTCAGGGAACTATTAGGGGAATAATTTCATCCCGGACTATAGCTTGGTTTTTCTTCTTAATGAGTCACTGGTGTTTTTAGGTTTCCTATGAACTATGCTAGGCTTTTGCTAACAGCCGTGACCTACATATGTGAGGAGGCTGGGTGTTTTGTTAGTCAGAGAGATGTGTTTTTAAAACAGCATGACAAACTCAGCCCACTGAGGAGTCAAACAGGAGGGGATTCGGATTTAGCGGATCATCCTTGCTCGGGCCTTTGTTGACTGCTTGTAGAGCAGAAATGGCATTTGCTCACATTTCTGCTCCTGAATAATGATATTGAATGTTATTAATAGTGAGACAATCAATGCATTAGGTGCAGAAAATTAGCTGTCTCAAACAGCATGGTGTCAGGATCAATTACTTGTGCCGCTCCCCAGAGTGAAGGCTTATGTCACAGTTGCTTTGATTACCAGGCTCCCTGCCCTATGTTTCACTGTCCTCTTTAATGTAACTCCTCTCTGATGCTGCCTGAACACTCATACTTTATGTAAAGCTATGTGTCCTTATAGAGTCAGCAGAACCAGGACTGCTTTCTTTGGGCCTGTCTAGACAGGCATAGGTCAGTATTTGGACCATGTTGGCACAGTTTGGTTCGATCCAAATTGCATCATGTACACGTGTTTCTACTTGGATCAACCCATCCTGCCCATTTAAGAGCTGTCACTCTCTTTTCTGGTACAAGGCCAGGGGCCTTTGAGTTTTGTTTTTTTGTGTGTGCATGATCTGGCATGCTCCTAATTATTCTATTGTGTAGCCCGTGCAGACAACCACTTTGCATCCAAATGGAGCTGTGGGTGGTGTTATCAGAGGTGACAACTCTGTTACATAATAGATGGGTTGTGATATTAAAAGGGACGATGGAGAAACCACCTCCTCTATTTTTGTTGTCATCTTTTAAAAATAAATCACTGATGTAGCGCAATTCTAATACCATGTTAGGCTGATGCATTGCTATTTTGATACGCCACTTACTTTAATTAACAACAAAAAGGATAACCACTGTGTTCCACTGAATGACAGCTGTGAGAAAAAGGAAGGAAGGGAGCAATGTTGATGCCATGGGCTCCACCGTCACAAGCCCCAACAGACCCTGGGCTGAGGAAAAAGGCAGGAAAAGGGGTGTTACCTCCCATCTCCTCAACCTTCACCCCACTGCCGTGACCTCTTTTTGTTGTTATTTATTCGTTTAGTCATGTCCGACTCTTCGTGTATTCATGAGTAAACCAGGTAAACTTACAAACAAAGAAACCAGCAAGCCAAAGACCTGTATGAAGCTTTCTCGTCAGAGAATCTCCAGTCTGAATGGAAGGATTACTCAAGGGAGAGATAAAAATAGATTACATTGAAAACAACAGCGTGTTATGTGTGAACCAGACTGCTCCAAATTCCCGTCTGGACAGGCCCTTAGAAAGGAGGTGACAAGGCACAAATGAAAGGAGATGCAGAGGAAGAAAAAGCTGAAAAAGATACAGCCAGAAATGGGGAGAACTTTGGCGCCCACTGAAGTGATGGGAAGAAAACAGTGGTAACCTGAATTCCATAGCAGAGGACATTTTGCTTTGCGTGCAGAACGTCCCTGCCATGTCCATTAAAAAAAAGAAGAACACCTGGAAGCAAATGGTTGGTGCCGTCTCTGGGCTGAGACCCTCAAGAGCCACTGCTAGTCAGATTATTAGACAAAGAGGCTAGGCTGGTGGAAGGCAACTTCCCATGTTTTTAATTCTTTGGCGGTACAATTGAGGAACCCAAGGCACTTAAGGGTATGCTTTAATCTTTAGGGGATCAGTCCTGCAACAGCTGTAAACTGATCTGAGAGAACACATACCTGAAGACAAGTATACCCGAAACCTAATTCTCTCCTTCCCACACCTTTTAGTCTAAGGCTAGAAGATGCTAACAGCAGGCTCTTTGCCTCCTTTCCACTGCTGAACCGCAGCCTTCTGAGGACTCATGCTATCACACCATTGGCCACCATTTATATTCCCAAAAGCATGCGGGCAGCATACCCATGCACACTTTTCAGCTTTGTAACTTTCTTTATCCCTGCATAATTTCCCCACCTTGCATTCCCTCTTGTTTCGGTTCCCAAGCATGTATGTACAGAACATGCCCTGTTTTTTAACCCTGCTTTTTGGTTGAAAAGACTCTCAGATTAGCTTATTTATGTATTTAAAATATTTTTATCCTACCTTTCTCCTTAAATAGAACCCAAAGCGGCTCACACCATTAAAAAGACAATATGTAGAAATTAAAAACAGTAAGTATACAAATATTTAAAAAGAATTAAACAAGTATTACATTAAAAATAGCAATAAAATCAATAGTAAAACACATTTAAAACTACAGAGCACAATTATTTATTTAAAGAACCCTCTCAGCCCACCATTTATAGAGGGAAATCACATGCCTGAAGAGAAAGATCTTTGACTGCTTGCAGAAGGACAGCAGTGATGGGGCCAGCCTAGCTTCCTGTGGGAGGGAGTTCCAAAGTCTGAGAGCAGCAAGAGAGAAGGCCCTGTCCTGTGTCCCCACCAAGTGTACCTGTGAGGGTGGCAGGACAGAAAAAGGCCTCCCCTGATGATCTTAAAGCCCAGGCAGGCTCATAGAGAGAGATGCGGTCTTTAAGATAGCTTGGACCCAAGCCATTTAGGGCTTTATAGGTTAAGACCAGCACTTTGAATTGTGCCTGGAAACAGATTGGCAGCCAGTGGAGCTGCTGTAACAGGAGGCTCACATGATCTCTGCAACCAGCCCCAATCAGCCGTCTGAATTTTGGACCCTCTGGAGTTTCTGAACACTTTCCATATAGAGCATTTTACAGTAATCCAGCCAAGATGGAACTAGGGCATGTGTCACCATGGCTTTCATATGCACAAGTAAAAACAAGACAAAGCTTGTTCTTAAGCTTGCTGTCTATCTAAAAATCTAAAGCAAGCTCAACTTGCAACATGAGGAGCTGAAGAGATCTAAAATAAACAGACACTGTTTACCTCTTAAGAAAGATCTGCTTCTAATGATGTGCTTACTGCATTACCAGTCACACTTAGAGTTAGCAAGCTATAGGCTTTATGCAGTCTTGGGGCAGAGATTTCCTCTTTCTATGGGGATCTGATCTAGGGGTAGTAGATCTGCTGTGCAACGGGAGTGTGTGTTGCTCACCTTTGCCTATCCTTATATCATTAAACCATATAAGTAAAGCAGATATTGCTATGTGTATGCAAATAAGCCAGATATTACAAGAAATTCCCAGAGCTCTTCCCCCCCCCCCCAAAAAAGGAAGCCAAACCCAAGTGCATTCCAAGGGGCTTGAATGTCTCATTACTCGGGGAATTGGGCTACATGCACAGCAGTACCAAGAAACAACATCAAAACAGTCATAGGTGAACTGACAGTGGGATTCTGGGCCAGGTTGACATAAGTTTCAGAACGATCTCTTACCAATCCAACATTCATTACTGTGGGCAGCAGCTGAACTTTCCTTCTTCCTTTCCCTCCCCCCTTCTTTTCTTGGCTCTGAACCCCAACATCTGGAGATACTTTTTGGTGGAGGAAACCTGCCTTCTCTGTCCCAGCTGTGAGTGTTGGGCATACATATGGTTAATGGCAGCTGTGCTCCCATCTGAGGGAGGAGGGCCCGGCAGCATGCAGTGTCTGCCCCTTTCTTCCCCTCTCCCTCTCTCTTTCTGTGTTTCTCTTTCTTGGCTTTTCAGAAAGCAGCTTTCTACTTGGAACCTGAGATCTCAAGGCAAGAAACGGGGCTGTGCTGACATTCTCCCTTTTTACCCCATTAGCAAGGGGGTAGATTTGTTTACCTGGAGAGGAGGGATGTTCTAGAAGACCAAGGCAACCAGTGGCTCTTAGCAGCCTGTAATCCTGCCCCAAAGGTAGGTGCCAGCCAGCTGGATAGATTTCTGGGGCCAGAAACTTAGGCCTGTAGAATTTTTGTGTGTGTGTGTGTATGCGCGCGCATGCACAAAGAGGCTAGGATTGATCTGTGTGAGCTTGACAGCGGGAGTGGATGGGTTGCAGCAGCCTTAGGCTGTCTGGGATTGCATACAAGGACCCTTCCTCTAGAAGGCACAGTGATGCTCAGGCTTCTGGTATATTAGATAATTTGTGTATGCTGGTGGAGGGTGTGTGTGTGTGTGTGTGTGTGTGTGTGAGAGAGAGAGAGAGAGAGAGAGAGAGAGGGGTTCCAGGATCTGCCCTGTGTGGAATCCTCCTATTACAGCAGGATGGACAAATTATGACCTTCTATATGTTGTTGGACTACAGTTCCCATCATCTCTGGCAAGCCCAGCCAACAATGAGGGATAATGGGAGTTGCTCTCCAGACACATCTGGAAGCTCACAAGTTGTCCATCTCTGCATTACAGTAACAGGGATATATATCTTTTTAAATGGACCTACTGTATATTGCCTTTCATCATCACTCTGCCAGCCAGCCCTGTCTGGAACTGGCAAGTACAATATTGTGTACATCCCTAGATGTAAAGCGGAGCCTCCCAAATCCATTGGGATTCAATCTGTATGTAAATAATCTTCATCCACCTTTTTACATAAACTCAGCTCTTGAGGAAGTGTCACTCGAGGACACGTTTTACTGGGGAATCTGAATGAGGCACCTTGGCCCTGGCATAGGAAAAGAGAAGAGTGGCTCTTTTCTTGGCTTCTACGCCTGCTGGCAGACTTACCACTGACTGGCAAGCATTTCAGTAATTCCAGCACTTTGTTTGGAAATGTCTTGGGCTGCTGTAGGAATCCATCCTGGAGTGGTTTCCCTTCCTCTGTGCTTTGTGCTTCTTTCCTAGAGGGTTAAAGATTGGTAGTTTTGAAGGGTAAGCGGAGAGAACCTGGGACTTTATTCTGGTGTTCACCCCAAACGTCCTCTGGGCGAAATGAACTCCTGAGTCTTTAGCTCTCTAATGCTGAGGGGATTTTTCCCCCCCAGGCGATGACAGCTGTAGGTTCCTAGGCATTACAGGCTGATTTATCAGGCCCATGAGAGATGGACTATGTCCAAAGTGAACCGGAAAAAACAAATACCATTTTGGAGCCTCAGCTCCAGCCGCCATAACAAGCTTGCATTTGTCCAATTATATGTCTTTTTGAGTAGGTATATATGCTTTTTATTGAACAGAGCAACGTCTTCCTTTGTGGACACATGCTAGGCTCATTTTCTGGTGGAACTGTCTTTGTGTTCCTGAATTTAAATATACAGTATTACAAATTTTGTTTATCATATTGTATTATTTCTTCTGTCGTTCTTGGTAGATGTCATGTGTTATAATCAGTAACAGATGAGACGGTCTCTTAGATTTCTTGTTTCTCACCTCCCAGTGTTTCAGGACAGGATTTACAAACCGCCAATACAAATAGGTTAACTCCCCAATATGGATGAAATATAGTTAATTATCCTAATGATAATCATTTAAAGCCCATCCACATGAGAAGAACAACAATACTTCTGTGTTCAGACTTCAGTAAATCGCCACAGGTGGATTACCATGTGTAGTTCCTCTGGACAGCTAAAATCCCCATCAGTATATGGCATGTGCCAAACAGTTTGGTAACTAGGATTGTTGTTTCTTTTTTTGCTTTAAGATTGGAGGCAACTCCTCTTTCTCATACCTCTGGCTTTTTAGTTGTTTGTTCACCATTTTTCAGGGGGCATCACATTCTTATGTGCAAACTGCCTGCCTGTTTGTGCACACTGGACTTCTGCCACAGTGTGAGATAAGACACATGAGAAGGTAAGATTTATTGCTATGGACATGAGTGTGGAAGAATTAATGTTCACCAACTATAGTTCCCAGAATATTCCAGCCAGCTTGGATAGGCTGGCTCTGGGAATTCTGGAAACGGTAGTCTGAGAAGTGGCTTCTCCTAGCTCTGGTGCAGACTATGCAGGGGGTAGACATATTTCTAAGAGTGATTTGCCGTGAGCCAGGACATCTGTGATATTCTCAAAGTATATTAAAAATACATGGCCTGGAGGGGGAGGGGAGGTGTGCCTGCCATGCACACCAAATAACTGTTTATGCATTATGTATTGAGAGTGTGTGAGTGATGTATGTTATCTGCATTGTAGAAGAGTCTCCACTAATGACTTAAAATGGGCAAACTAGCATGCCTTCTTTGCAAAGAGCCTGAATGTTTAAATACTGGCTACAAAATAAGATTTCATCATCCTTAGAAAATGTTAATTCCCCTAAGCCCCTTATCGGAAGACAAGGTTCAAAACGGCTTTTATCTCCAGTATAGATCGTGTATTCATGAATGCAGTGCAGAGTGAATTGCATGTTCTTTGCTTAGTGTGGGAGGGCCAATGTTCTGACAGCGGCTCAGCTGGAGTGCACCCATATCAGCTTTGGGAGTCTGGTACATCAATACGGGCTGCATGAGAATGACTCCCATTTGCACACGGCTTGCGGCTGTCTCCTTTGGTCCGTGTGCCTGCTCGTTACGCTCTGCAAGACATAATTCTGTTGTTGGAAATCTTCTGGTTCTGGATTTTAACCCAGCTGAGTAGCTTGTTCCTTGAGAATGTTCCCAGAGGCCCTTTGACCACAGATCTTAGGAGGCTTGCCCAGTTTTGCTAGGCACTATGTTGCATCCGCTTATAATATAACAGGGGTGGGACAGGCATCCAAATGGTGCACATTTACGTGCATTTGCACATCCACACACACACTCTGCTGTGGAATCACAGGCTTGCCCAAGGACAAAACCGCAGGACTGCTGCAACAAGCAGTCCAAAGGCACTTAGGAAGAACTGAATCGGTGCATTGCCGTCATGGCAATTTTGCAGGAAACAGTGTTTTTCTCTTCAACATCTTTCCTAGCCTTCAAGCTCCCATTTCTGTGCTTGCCGTTGAGAATGGGATGGAAGCTTTGGGTTTTTCCTCTTGTCTCTCCTTTGGATTTGCCTGGGCTAAGGGCCAAGCTATGCTTTTTGTAGGAAACAGGTCTGGAAATTCCAGTTCTTCCTTCTTCATTGCAAAGTGGTGTTGGAGGGGAGATTTGCCTGTTGGAGGAGATTTGCAGGGGGAAAGGAAGAGGAAACAACCATGTGCTGAATCCTCCCTCCCAGTTTCTCCTTTCCACCTACAACCAGCTCTATATTGTCCCTGACTTGACAGTTCCCAGTTTGGGGAACGTGGTTCATGCCATTTCTCTTCTGCCTAGGGTCCCAACCACATCCCCCCCCCGCCGCTGCTATTTTTCAGTGTGTAAATGATAGCCAGATTCCACAGAAGTACATCAGCTCCTTGCAGTATGCATTAGCCCTCACTGATAGTATCTCATTATGCGGCTAGAGGGTGCTGATGCTCTGTAGGTATTTTGCCCATTTAATATCTTCACATCAAGATTTCATCTTTACACAGCATTGTCAAGAAAAAACAAGTTTATGTACAGAATATGCCCACTACTGCAAGACAAGGAGGTATAGCACTTGTTTTGACATTGCCTTTGGAGCTCCCCCAGGGCTGCTCATGTGCAAATGGCTCTTGAGCCCTCGAGCATTCCAAGGTTGTTTGCAGAACTGAAATATACCAAGCATGCATTTTACGGCGGTAAGAGGGGATGGGAATCACTTGTTTCCAAATATTTGGGAACACAGAACGGACATGTACAAGTGATCAGTGATTGGGCATCTCTCCCAGTTCTGTGCCCCCTTTGTGTCTCCCAGCTGCAAGTCCATTATCTGTTTCCAGCTGTGCATGTTTCCTAGCCTACTATGGAAAATGTTAGCAAGATGAACATTGGAGTCAGGCTACAATGTAAAGTGTGGATAAGAGATTCTGATGGTCCATGTTGGCTGGTGCTGATGCTTGTTGCTCAGAAGACTAGCTTATATTCTAACCAAGGGATCTCCAATAGGGGAAATTTGATCTGCTATTCCCCACCAACTCCCCAAATCTCGTCAGTAGAGCAACCAAGCAGAATACTGTCCCTGACCATATCCCCAATCCCATCCTGTCCACCCCACTGTGTTTCCCTGCCTGATTCTGTTCTTATCCAACAGGGCTCAGAGCCATGATGGGAGTATTGATGCCAAGTGCCCTTTTGCTCATCTGTCTGCTCTTCCAGGCTGAATGCACTGAGAGTGAAGTGGAAAGAAGCCATGGAGCACCAACACAGCCACCACCCCAGCATCATACTTCCAGGTGGGTTATGACAGTGAAGTCAGCAAGCAAATGGATGGCAACTACCAATGGCTTTGCCTGTCACCTGTAACACACTTGATCCCAGGGTGCCAACTAGTCAGAGGGACTCTAAATAGAGGTACAGTATACCTGGGCATCTGCACAATATTGCTATGCCTTCAGCTGGAACTGCTGATGACAGTTAAAGAAATAACTTCATGGTGTACTTCAATGCCCAATTAACAGCATTAATGTGCATCTTCAGTGTACAGTTAATGCACAATTAACTCTATCACTCTGTCCTAGTTTAAATGGAGCCAGAGGCTGCTGAGTGATAATGGCTGTGAAGGAGATGTAAATGACTGCAAAAGGGGTCTTAATGGTTGCATCACAAGCATAAAATTAAGATGCCTTTAAGCAGAGTGAGCATTCCCTACCCATCTTCTGTACTGCAAGGGCCTGTGTTTTCCTAGCCTTTCCTCAAGATGTAGGCCTCTCCCCATCCCTGGCATTAAGAATATCAAAACAGTCCATTCCCAGGGGGTGGGGTGGTTGTGTTAACCTATTGGAAAGGGGGGGGGAGAGGAAAAATACCTTATGGCGCCTTACAGAACAGCAGATTTGGCAGAAGTACTTGTGACTCGCAGCCCACCTCCCTGGGCTGTATCTGATGCAGTCCATAAAAGAGCATGCCACAATTTAAACATGCTAATGTTTCCGGTATGACAAGTTGTTTGGAACAAGAGTCGGTTAAGCATTTGCTGTCCATTCATGGCACTTAAAATTAGTTGCTTCACTCTTCTGAATGGAGGACTTGACACTGGTTCAGTGAAGAGGATTCTTACCCAGACTACTAGTGCTCCTTCTTCCGACAAAAAAAGGATAGGAAACACACACTTGATTTATTCAGCTGGTCTCGTGTGAATCTTATCCAGATGTCTTGTGAAGGACCTCATTTGTTCTCACCCATTACAGGACCAGGGAGGTTCAGTTCAGCATGGCTAAGTCTTTGAAGATGGTTTAGTTGCTGATTCAGCAAGTGCCTGGTGCTTCCAATAAGCTCATTTCCAATTTGAAACATGAAAGAAATTCATCACCTAGGCTATATTTTGTATGCTGAAACCATGTTTCTTCCCCGCCTGCTTCTCTGCTCAAACAGTAAATCATCTGTCCAGTTTGGGATTTCAGACAGAAGCTTCCTTAGGAATTATGGGGCCCCATTCTAAAGCACAAGGGGAATGCATTGAGGAAAGTCTTGCCAAATCTGTGCACCTCCTTTCCTCATTAATGCAGTGATAGTTACAGGAACTGCCATCTAATTCCTGGACCTGTGACCATTTTGCTCAGTCTCCTGGCTAGAGTATCTGTTCTTCCTGTAATCGGCCAGATATTGCTTGCCCAAATTTGACACCAACCAGGCTACTATTTGCTGCTGCTAGTTGTGGGAAAATAATAGACTGTACTTATTTAAATACAATATGTGCAGCTGCAGGGCATACCCATCTTCCTAGCAGACGCCTAACAATTAGGTGGGAAACTGGCACCACTGGTACAGAGTAAAATCAGTTGTTTGGGGGGCTGTTACCTGTCATGTTCTGAGAGCACATTCATGGATGTTTTAAACTGTACACCTTTAAGGAAACTTTAGACCCTGGCAGTAGTGCGCATACAGTAGATTAGATGCAACAACTCAGGGCGTGACTACATTGGCTGTTTTCCCCACAATTTTCTGTCACATTGGACACAGATGTATTTAAATTAAAAGCAGGTAACATAAAGTTCAATGTGAGGAAGCCTATTGTGGAATCAACTTTTTTGAGCAAAGAATTGCCCTTTTTTTGTTCATCTAGCAAGGTGTGATTTAAATATCTTTTGATAGGATTGACCTTGCTTTTGTCCACTTTCTGCTGCTGTGATTGCCTGATCGTGCAAAGGGTGTTCCTAGTTCCCCTCAAATGAGTGTCCCTAGTCTCTACACAATGTTGGGGGGGGGGGAAGAATGGAAAAGAATGGGAAAGGTTTCTACTCAGTGCTAGTACAAACTTTCTCTAGTGCACTTAGGAGAACTACATAAGCAAAGAGATAGGTAAAAATTGTCAATTAACATCTTGTTAGCACCTCATGGCAGTTTCTGTCTTGCCGACTTCTGCAAATTGTAGATTGGGCAGTTATAGTGATTTCACCAGTGGAAAGCTGATTTCCATTGGTGCTAATGACAATGGATCAAATGTTATTTGCCCTACTGTGCAGTTGCACCCTCCCCCTCATGTAGAACTGACAGGGCAATTTTAATAACATGGAACAAAAGATACTAAATTATTACCTTAGAGAATAGCAAAATTTTCAATAAAGCTGCATAAATAGCAAAGAGTAAGTAAATACACGTAGATATGAAAATGCATTTGCTTCAAAAATGTTAAAGGGGAAAATTTCAATTTAAAATCCATCCCTCACATAGTTGAAAGGGAGATTCAGGCTGTTATTGCAAAGTTGGATGAGCTATAGAGGGATGGATACAAATTCCAGAAGTTGGGGCTTGTGAATTGGGCTAACTAGTTAGAGGTACAGAGGCTGAAAAGAGGCAAAGTAGTTGAGGGAGAGAGATCTATTCTTAAGCCTCCCCCACCCCAAAACTGAGGAAATACATTGGGGGAGCTACCACATGCAGAGAAAATATTCCCTAAAAATCAACTTGGAGGTGACAGAGATGACCTGTCTTCAGTTGTGGTAGATTCTCTTGAAGAGAACCTGGGGAGCAGTGTAAGGAAAGGAAAATCTCACTCAGGCATCTTAAGGGAAGGAAAACTAATAAGATCATATGGCCAGGGATTTCAGAGAGAGTAATAAAGTTGTCTAGCTAAATACAGGTTGGGGAGTAAATTGTCCTTATAGACAATTCCAGGTTGACCTGGCCTGTGCTTTCAGTCTCATAGTGTTTTGACTGTTAAAGGACCTAGGCAAAGCCTTAGGCATTAATCCTGGCACTGCAAGAGTGTGACAGGAGAATGAAGCGGCAAGCAGGCCTTATCCTCATCCTGGAAGAAATATCTGGCCATCTTGGGTTCCTTTTAATAGAATTATAGTGTAGTGAGCCCACCTCCTTGTCAACATCTTATTGTTGTGTCTGGCTACTCCTTTTCAATCTGTTCCTGGCCTTTCACAGGAACAGGAAATAGCTATTTTTTTTTCTTGATGGTCATGCATGCATTGCTAAAGGGCAGGAAAGTCCTAAGGAAAATAAAATGGATAAGCAGGCCCATCTGGCCTTTCCCTGGACATATGAGAGGGTACTTTGTCATTAAAAAGAAAGGAGAAATTATCATCCTAGGCTAGGCTGATTACCCTCCTAACTGCCAGGAAACTATAATTACAGGCATAAAAAAGTAAGGTAGAAATTAATGAATCTGTGAATAAGATTTCCTACCATAGACAACTCTTTATCTTGAAGGTAATCATGCTTAATGTTTGATTTGATTCATCCATCCCTTTAACCTTGGGACAAATTCCACTGAATACGATTATTTGCAGTAATATTTCCTGTCATTTCCCCACCTCAGATTCATTTAATAATCTGATCATCAAAGTCTTATTTTTTTTCTTGGTTAGTGGTTGCCTCTCTATTCTACACAGACACACACACACACACACAGAGAGAGAGAGAGAGAGCGAGAGAGAGACGGGGGGGGGGGGGGGAGAGAGACTTCAGTCCTATGAAGTCCAGCCTGATTTTGTTTTGTAAGGTTAGGATTTTCCTAAACACTCTTCAACTCAGCGTGCAGTTACACTATGAAAATGAATTGGGAGATGGATGGAGGGGGGTGAAATCGGTTTCAAGTCATGTGGTAGTTATGTGGTTTTTTTCGGATCAGTGTGTGTATCATCTGCTCATGAAAACTTTTAATCCATTTTAAAGCTGTATTGTAGCTCAGTCGAGGGGGCTACATGGTCTTTTAGAACCTCTTGAAGCTTTGTCCTACGGCTGCCTGTCCTTGGGCTGGCTGCCTCTCACAGCCACTAGCTGCTGCACCATTATTTTCTTTTTAAAAAAATATTTCTTGCATTCTGGTATAGCAATAGTTCAGTATGATAGACAGAAAAAAAATGCAGATTGGACTGCAAGCTTTCCATGGAGCCCACCATGTGCACATGAAGACAGACAGACAGGCAGGCAGGCAGGCAGACATGCAGACACACAAAGGGGGTGAAGAAGGAGAGGGAGCAATGCAGCCCCCAGCCCAGGGAAGGCACACCAGTGAGAGGCAAAGAGAAACTGACCAGAGAAATTGACAAAATCAACAAGTTGCAGGCTTGCAAAGGAGGTAGTACTCCTTTTCTCTCTCTGCTGGGTCTTTTCAGATTGGATTGCAAGGTTTTCTTGCAGCCCGAAACCTGTGATTCAGGCATCCATTACAAATCCCACAGACACAATTTATACTGACAGAAGTGTTCACATATGCCAAAATGATTCAAAATAAACCAACTTCACAAGCAATTTAAAATAAATGATCCTCTCATGGATGAGTAAAATATGTAGCTTTCCAACCAAACAAACATACTTCCTGGGCAAAATAAATACATAAATAAAATTTAAAAAATCCATGCTTCCCTGTGTTTTGTGTATTTGGATTTTTAAAAATTGATTCAAAAACAGTTTCTCTCCCCCCTCCCCATGTGTAAGTGAGCCCTCTTCTGTTGGCTTATTTCATGCTGTCTGTCCATATATTGTTCCTTCTCCTCCACTTGGATGGAGCTAGGCATTGGAAAATGCCACAAGTACTTTAGATGCGCTAGGATGAAAAAAGGATGCCGTTCTGAGGCCTGCCCCAGCTTTTCCGTCTCAGAGTCTCTTTCTCTCTCCCCCCCCATTTCCCCATTCCCCAGTCATCCTACTGCTCTGTATGTTTCACCTCTCCATCCTACAAACAAGGTCTGGCCTCATGGTTGGTTATCCTTATTAGAACAATGATTGGGGGAGGGGGAGGATTTGGTTGATACTTTTAAAGGCTCGATTTCTGTGTATATATCAGCTGCAGTGAAGTTCCTCCTATTCTTTCTTACTGCTTGCGTGTGTATAGGCCAGGGGTCAACAACATCTGGAGAGTCCCCTCTCTTCTGGACAATACATCTGTGCAGGCTTACCTATTAGCAGCTGCATGTAAAAGGGCACATAATGGTGTCTGCCCTTTTTGGTCTGGCTACTACTGTAGGGCTGCTGCTTTGTGGGATCAGACTGGAGCAATTCCCTGTGACAGAGGGAAGGGTCGCTTTAAGGGAGATAACTCCTTGCTAAGTGACTTTTTTCAGTGTGATTGGACATATGCCTTTCCCACCATCTAATTGCATCCAGGATCAGATCTATTGTGGTTAATCTTGGAGGCTTAAGCTAGTTTATACTTACGTAGTTTGCCAGCACACAATAGTACAGGACAGATCACATTGTGAAAATAATAAAGGTGTTACAAGCAGTAGTGGTCCTTTTTTCCTCTTTTGAATTACTGGAGGATATACTTCTGGGGTCATGAAGAGTCGGACACAACTCAACATCTGAACAACAACAAGAAAATACTTCTTCCACTCTGTTTTCTCTTTCCCTTTCTGTCCTCCCTGATCTTTCCCACAGGGCAGCTTTTAGTGGTTACTGAAAATGTCTGTGCCAGTCCAGGAGAAGGCTCAGCCTTGCCTTGATCAAGGAGCAGGGGAAGGAGAAGCCCAAGGGGGAGAAACTGATTGTTTCCTTATGCCTCATATATGCCTTTCAAATCTCGCTGTCCAGGTGGGGCTCTCAATGTTACTGAATTCCATTTCCTCTTTACTCCCAACCATATGGCTCAGTCTGTCTATGTCCTGTTGTCTACCCTATCCAGATCTGAGAATGACTATGAGAAATACAGTAAGCGGCCTAGACGTACTGAATGTGTACAGTGCTGTGATCCTCCGGACCGCTTTGCAGCATATCCGATGTACCAGCCACAGCCTCAGATAAACATTACCATCCTGAAAGGTAAGGGGCCCTTAGTCTACTACCATGGGTTCACAACCCAGCTTACAAAGGAACTGGAGAATCCTGGAACCATGAGCAACCTGGAGAATGGGCTGCAGAGTGACTACGTGCCCTCACACAACCCTTTAAACAGACCCTTCTTTTTACATGCTGCAAAAACTCCAGGTTTTAACTCTTTGTTCACCGATTCAAGGCCCAACGTCAACAGATGCAGCACTGCTTTTCTCAATCCAGAAATCCATTGTCTGGTTTGGCTCTTGGCTGAACGCCCCCACGCCAATCTTCTTCCTGTAGGTGAGCCCCAAAGGGGGCAGGCGCAACAGCAGGGCTCTGATTGCAACCAGGTAGCTTTGTTTCCTACAGTGGCCCTCAAAGGAATTTGAGACCATTGGGAATTTGGTAATGCCTGCTCCAAGTATAAGGATCTGCCAGTCCTCTTGAATCAGCCTAAAGGCCTCTCTCATCTGTCACTGTATTTCCCAGTTCCGGAAAGCCCCAAAGCAAGGCACAGGGGAACAGCTGTCACCGCCTGTTCCCCAACAATTAGTCTTAGAGGCCTGGTGCCTCTGGTCCTAGACAGCAATATGCAATGGCAGCCATTTTGGCAGCACTGTTTTCCACAAATCTGTCTGGCCCTCTCTTAAAACCACCTGAATTGGTGAACCTCTCCATATTTTGTGTCAGTGAACCCCTCTGTCTGGTACTAACCGGAATACTATAAAAATAATTAATGAATGGGGCCCCGTGGCAGGTATCTGTAATGGCCCTGTTGGTACCATGAAACAGTCTGAGAATGTTGTGTGCTGGTGCCAGATGTAGACACTGTAATCCATGGAGCTGAACAGGTAATGCAGCTGTGGCTTCCTCGATCAATTTCTGCCCCAGTTCCTCCATTGTCTCTTCTGTGAATGGCAGGGCTGAAGTCCTCTGTTCCTATGTTATTGAAATCCTGATTGTTGAAACAGATGCAGGAGAGGGGTAACTAACGAAACCAGAAGATGCTGGACAGAGTAATTTGCAGTTGATTTGTCTCTTAGAGTACCAAAGAATTCAAAGGCATATAATAAGGTTTTAGGTTGGGTCCTGGGCAACACTGTACAGAATTTCCTTCCAAGCACAGTCATGATTCATGGCTCACCACTTGGGACCTCTAGCTTTATGCCTTCCCTGAAATGCCCTCGGTCTTTAGCAAAACTGTTTAGCATGGAGCAAACAGCACCCCAGGATTCCAGAAGCTGTAATGAAGTTGCTTTTAATCTCCTTGCTTTGGTCACAGGGCGGGGTAGATGTCTTTGGATGAATCTTGTTTAGATTCCAGAGGGGCCACTCTGGGATAATTTGTACTGTATGAGCTAAATAAATTCCTGGCCTGAAGGAGCTGTTATGATAATTTTATCCCAACTTCTTCCCTGCACAGGCCAAAGGAAAAAGCCAAATTATTAAGTCAAAATGAGTACTCCAGAGGTTGCACTAGGACATAATTTGATTTGACCACAAGAATGTGAAAACTGAGGAAAAGGTGAGATCAAAGTAAGCCCCTATATTGCTGGACCAATTTCCCCTAATATTTTACAGGTGGGTGAGTTAGGAAATAGTGTGTGGGCTTAATCACATGGGGCAAAAGAAAAAACAAATAAAAATCCCCTTATTGCCCTTCCTATCTCCTCCCACTTCTGGGAGGATGTTTTCCTTTGTCTTTTTAAAAAAGTATTACAGGGCAGATGTATTTATTTATTTATTTATTTATTTATCTTTCTTTCTTTATTTATTTATTTATTTATTTATTTCAGTCCTCTGTCCCTCCATGGAGGTGAGAAAGTGTTTAATCAGGCAAATCCTAAAGTACTCTCTTAAGCCGCTTCATGATATGGCACATTCAAAGGCGGCTCACTTTGGTTCATTTCCAGCAACTGCATGCACTGGAAAAGAACCAAAACAGAGAGATCCTACCCATATTAAAAAAACAGAAACCTCTGACAGGGTCCAAAGAGTCATGGATAGGAACACTCTGGAGGTAAGCTGGTTCACTCCAGAAAACATATTGTTTATTACTGTATTTAGGAGTGAACTAGCCTGTCCCTGTAGTGGACCAAACAAGGTAAGTGCTTGTATGTTCACATTCACTATCTAAAAGAAGAAAGAAAATCCTCAGAAAGTGACCCCCAAAAGCATTGAAAATATAGAAACATGCCCTGTGACATCTGAAGCAAATACCAATCATCAGTGCAGAACCCAGTACAGTACTTGAGCAGAAACAAATGAACCGTCTGGATAAGCCCTCTGTCTCTATAAGATGCTTTTTTGACAAGATCTGGAAAAGCTGAGGAGGTAGATCTAGATTCCTCTTCTGAGTTAAATGCTCTCCTATTCTACTCCATAGTAGTCAATAAAAAGCTACCACAGGTTTAGCATTTGGATTCTCTCAGATCACATTTTTATCTCATATGTTCTATCCAAAGAGAAACTGCTAACATTGTCTTCAGGTAATAAATAGTGATAATTCTATTTAACACATAAGACCATTTTTGATGCCACCTTCTGTGGCAGCTACAATGTTTTCTCAGTGCCTGCCTCATAGTGAGGAGGATGTTACTACACATCTGTCTGACATCCAGAGAAGTAAGGGCATCATGTGTGTTAAAATTCTTCTCACCATAAGGCTGGATATGACAATTACTTCTAATTCTACTGAACTAACTGGATTATTTCTGTTCCAGAGTTCTCTCCTAAGTTAGGGAGGCATGATTTTTTTACTTATTAATACATTATGTTAGTAGAAATTGGTTGCTTTTTAATTTTTTTTAGTAAAAAGTGTGCTTTTCCAGATCACCTGATTGGTGGCCTCCCTTGTATTGGAAACAGAGGCCTAGATTTTCTCAGTTGAGGTGTTGCTGAGTCATGACTTTCTTATTGTTACTCAGGTGAGAAAGGGGATCGTGGTGAGCGTGGCCCCCATGGGAAATTGGGGAAGACCGGTTCTGCAGGGAGAAAGGGTGAGATTGGCCTCAAAGGGCAAAAGGGCAGCATAGGGGCTCCCGGGGAGATGTACAAGACAAATTATGCTGCCTTTTCAGTGGGCCGGAAGAAACCCCTGCACAGCAACGACTACTATCAGACGCTTGTCTTTGACACTGAGTACGTGAACCTCTACGGTCACTTCAATATGTTCATGGGCAAGTTCTACTGCTATGTGCCTGGAGTGTATTTCTTCATTCTCAATGTACACACCTGGAACCAGAAGGAGACCTATCTTCATGTCATGCACAATGGGGTGGAAGCAGCTATCTTGTATGCACAGGCCAGTGACAGAAGCATCATGCAGAGCCAGAGCCTTATGCTAGAACTGCAGGACCAGGATGAAGTTTGGGTGCGGCTTTTCAAAGGGGAACGTGATAATGCAATTTTCAGTGATGAGTACGACACGTATATTACCTTCAGTGGATACCTAATAAAGCCCAGTTCTGAGCCCTAAATCTGCAGGCAGATGGACAATTATGACTGAAAACTTTACCTTGCTCCATTTTTCTGGTGTCTTTCTATGTACAGTTTTCTAACACTATGCCACAACCCACCCTCTAACCCTGAAATCAGTTGTAGGATTTGGATCTGTATCCATAGTAAATGTATCTTGGGCTTTTCTAGTCCCCTAAGCATATACTCTTGGTCCTGGCCATCCATATTTCCACATCATCCCATGTGTGCTAACCCAAATTAACTCTCCTCCAGAGCTTAGAAAAATGTTTATTTTGGACCACAATCTCTAGAAACCACCCAGCCAACACGGCCCTGGTGGCTGGGGGTGGGGTGGGGTGATAGTTCTTAAAGCTGTAGTCCAAAAAATAACTTTTCCAGTCCTTCTCTAGGACTCCATTACACCCAATTCCTTTCTGCTCCTTGGAGATCTGTATCTTCAAGATAGTGTCTCAGATGGATTTCCAAGGTTGTCTTTCTTTGCCCTTCCCAACCCATATACATTCATCACTGCCAACCCTTGAATCTCACCCACTTAAATAATCGCTGTACTGTACTACCTCTCATGAGTCTTAACTTACTTCAGTCCTTCTGTCTGAGGTCTTAATTTCAGGATAACTTCCTACTTTGATGATGAGAAGCTTGCTCAATTCTCCTGCCTGCTCAGCTCACCCCCTTTCTCCGATAGTGACTCCTGATCTCTCACCACTGAGTATACTAACAAGGCAATGGCCTCTTTTATCTTCCCATGTACCTTTATTTTAAGCCTCAGAATTCTCTGTATCATCTTCCACACAGATGCTTCTTCTCCCTAAACTTAATTACCACCGTGCCTAAACAGCTCCCCAACAGCACCCCCACCACATTACCTAGCAGGATTAGTACAGTATGTAAAATTCCATTCTTAGTTGCCATTGCCAAGAGACTCTAAGAACTCTGGGTTAGAAGACTCCAGGTTGCTTGTTGGCCTCTTTTTCCCCAGCTGGAGAAGAAGGCAGAGTGATCTGCTCTCACCCTGAGAAGCCAGCAATGTTCCAGATGAGGGTGCAGTCCATGCCTGGCAGAAGCAACTAAAACCCTAACACAGAGTCCCAGTGAACGGCAGGTATCTTCTTGCATATGCAGAGGAATTCTTTTGGTTAGCTCTGATCTTTGAGTGGAGATAACACAAACGCTTCTATCTCCTGGAAGGAGGGACGTGGATGGGGAGAGCAGGGATCCCAGTCAGTTGGGAGCATTTAGCAGGCCGTATTTCAGTCTTCTGCAGGTCAGATTAGGTCCAGCCATCCCCTTCCCCAGAAGCAGTTACTTACCAACCCGGTAAATATTGTCTGCATTAAATACAAACTGTCCTTAGTACTGAATAAGAAGAGATGTATTCAGCATGACACAGTCCTGCTAACCTCCCTCACCTGTACTTTGCAGAAGACCTTCCAAGCTGGCCAAGTCCCCTTTGTCCTGATAGATCACATTGGTGCCAAATGGTCTCTTAGGCGTACATAGTTGGTTCTTGGCATGTCCTGCTAGGGGGTTTCTATTAGACAAATGCAGCAGCTGTGTGTCTGGCTTCAGATTCCAGCACTGACTTTAAACTAAACTGGATGCAAGGCAAATGTTGTCTAAGAAGTAAATAGCAGATGCAGGAGCCTGATCCACATCAGAACTTTGGTGAAAGGTCAGATGGCATGCTTTAACCTTTCTCACGGATTCTCTCTCATACCTACAACCTTATACCTCAGTGTAGCTCTAATACTGATCAGGACGCTCATGCACATTCTTTGCACTGAAAAGAAAAGTTTCATTGCCAAGAAATCAAAAGATGACACACTTTCCATTTCTTCCCCATTCTTTCCTCTATGCTCAATGGGAAGCCACTATGGCCTGCAGGCATGCAGGCGCACTGTGGCTCAGAAGCCTGGAATAGCAGTGGAATGTGTGTGTACACCATGGTTAATCATGACATCATTAGACATAAAGAAACAATTAGGACCAGTCTCCAATCTCTTGGCAAGCATTTTCTTCTGCTCTGCCTTTTCCTCCTTGATGTATGGCAACTGCAGCCATTTGGCTCAGCACATTGAGTCAGAGATTCTCTCTGCAGGGTCCCAGTTTTGTATAAACAGCCCCTCCCTCTGAGTGTCAGTGCACACCTTCTGAACATCTCTCTTGTACTGCAAGCTATGAGGAAAGAGATCCTAGCTGTTTGCCCAGTTGTCTTGGGGCACAGTGGTAGAATAAACCTAGGGTTTTGGGGAATTCTATTTTTAAAATAAAAATAAACCATAATTCATATTCATTTTTAATCCCAGTGGTCTTAAAATCATGTTTAAAGAGGAAGCTGTCAAAAAAATGATCCTAAGTGTACTACTTGGTAATTTGTCTATGTCACTTCTTTGTGTTTTTCAAACTGAGTGTGGAAAAGTTACCTCTTTGGACTATAGCTCTTTGAATCCCCCAGCCAGCATGGCCATTTTTCCAAGCTCTGCCCTCAACTGCAACATTGTGGGCCTCCCTGTTGCAGTCTCCCCCATGCCTTGATTGGGCCTTGATTCAAACCAAATATAAAGTCCAGTCCAGTACAGACCTGCTGCATGTCAGTACAGTGGCCACCTCAGTCTTCAAAACTGGTTATGAGGAGCCCTGGAAACAGAAGAAGAGATGGGAAAGGAGCAGTCCACTGAAACGATGTGCTAATGCTTTTATTCGTGGACATGACGTGAAGCGGGATCAGGAGGAGGTCATCTTCTTGGAAACCAAGGGAAATATTGTGGGTTGCAGACTTTACTGTACATCTGCTGGTCTTCACCTTGTACCTCATGCCCAATGACGTGAAGCGGGATCAGGAGGAGGTCATCTTCTTGGAAACCAAGGGAAATATTGTGGGTTGCAGACTTTCCTGTACAGCTGCTGGTCTTCACCTTGTTGTACCTCATGCCCGAAGTGGCGCATGTTAACAAGGCAAACAGTTCCCTAAAAAAAACGCAGACAGGTGCGATCATGGATAGATGGCTTCTCTAACTACTTTGATCACCAGGGAATGTCTTCTATGTGCCAGGAATGCTTTCCCAGTAGATTCTCTGCTGCATGAAACAGGGTTGGCCAATACATTATTTGAGCCACCGTTCACCAGTGTAGGAATTCTTACATCTCCCAAATGAGAAGAAACCAGAAACAAGTTTTTGTATATACATAGGTCAGGGTTTTGAATGGCCTATGTAGTGTGCCTAAATAACCTATTGCTACTTTCCCAAGGCTTGTCCCCAGTTTCCTAGTTGTACAGACACCCCCCTGATATCCCTTGACAGCCCTTCAAGCAGTGGTTCCCAAAGATGGGTAACCAAGGTGTTCTTGGACTGCAACTCCCAGAAACCACAGCCAACACAACTATTGGTGAAGGCTTCTGGGAGCTGCAGTTCAAGAACATTTTCATTATCTAAGGTTTACCTGCCTTAGAGGATACCTCATCTTATTCCCTGCTTTGTTTGCAAGCCAATAGTGGCCAGCTGGTTTGGAAGATGTATGAACTGCATAAAAAGTAGTAGTCTACTTATACAAGATGCTTTACCTACCAGGTCTAAATGGGGTGGGGGAAGTACTGTTGAAAGTGATGATTGCACCTATATACCCCTGTAGGTACAGACTGAGAAATTATTGCAAATCATAACTCCCATATGTATATATGGCATGCAACTGATATTTCTGCAGCCTTTACATATGACAGTAAGTGTACAAAGAGTCTATGTGTATATTTTGTACATCTGTTCAGGGGAAATATCAGGTGTGGAATAGCATATGCGTCAGAAGTGACAGCTCTTCCAACTAAAGAACTTCTTAGCAGACCATTCCAGCCTCCTTCGGCAATCACTCCTGGTGCTTCTTCAGTCTTTCATGTCCTAACAGTCTTGTTCGTTGATCAAAAACACAAGCAAAAAACAACACAAAAGCAAATGTTTGCATACAGTCTTTCATTTCCCACTTTACAAGTCACCAGATCCAGAATAAAGGATGCTCTCTTTCTTGTAAATGCCTCCCCCATCACAAATAAAACTTTGCCAAATGATTTTTCATTGTTTACATCTAAAATAACCAAGTTATTTTAGGGTGTTTTTTTTTTAAGAATGAGAATGAATGATGTATAAGGAACATGTAGACTAACTTGGGCTTCAAATGGAAGTGGCTGCAGAGGATGTTCCCTCTCCAACAGCCTGCCCAGGCATATGTGCCATCCCGACTCTCAGGACACACACAGAGTTGTGCTATTTGCCCCCAGATCATATTTGAACATACTGTATCTAATCCTCGCTATAAAGCTTCCCTTTCAACCTCCCCCACCCAGCAGTGAGGTTTCCATGGAGACTGATAAAAAACAAACAAGCTCCTCTCTGGGAACCATTGTTTTGCATTTAAAGAGACAACGCCAACTCAAACCTAGGCCTCCTTTTGTAAAATCAAACTGTTGCTGTATCCAAAGGGATACAGTACTTTGAAAATTTCAGTGCAAACACCAGGAGGGAACCCAAACATGGCCACACACCTGAATATTACAAAGCCTGGGGGTAACACCCCCGAGAGAAATCTAGGCATGTGAAGAGATGAGCAGAGCAGTCCGATTGTGTATCCTTAAACTCCATGTACAGAATAAGAAATATGAAAAGGAAGGAAGTGATATTAGCAACCCTAAGAATATCAGTCTAGGTTTAAAAAACATCAACATTTGTCAAAGCAGGTAAAGGACAGTGTTGGTTCTTTGCAGACCTTTGCCATTAAAAGGGGGAGTCCAGGACTACAGGTGGCATAGTTAGAATGCACTTCCTTGTTCTTTTTTCTGTATGCTTTAGTTTAAAGTTTAAAAGAAGAACACCTGATTAAGGCTCTAGAAGCAACTACAGAAGCTGAGCCCTAAAATAAATCGTAAGAGAAATCAAAGTCCTAGGCAGCACAACAGGACAGGTTTTTCTTTTACATTGTTTGTCCAAGATAGACCAGGCAACCACTGTGTGTGCAGTCATGGCTCTGTGGATGAATCTATAGGACTGAAAGTGCAAGGAAGGAGAGCTTGGAGAGACATGGACATTTTGAAGTGCATTTTTTGTCTTTAAATGTAAAAGCTAACCAGTATGGTTTATTGTACTATGTAAAATATGCATTGTAATACAGATTTGTTTATACCCAAATGTCTGCTTATATTTCTTACAAACTGCTATCAGTAAACTGGCTAATAACAGCTGATTCACGAAGGGTGCATCATGGCCAGAATCTTATTTACCTGATCCTATAAGAATGGTTGTGTAAGCATTTCCCCATACACCTCTGCATGTCTACCACTTTGTACCTGATCTTGCACTGGCTGCAAAATCAAGACTGTGGATGCCTATACTGTACAGTGGTTCATACAAAGATAAGCTGGTAGGAAAAGAAAAATCACTGTGTGATTGCCTTTACATGCAGTTTTTAGATTTGAGCCAGTATTAGTTTTAACTTGTTCTGTACATTTGTTGGTGGCTCGTGATGAATAAGTTGTATAGTTCTTCCATTGCCTGCACTAGGAATTGTGATACCGGCATTAATTACTCTTTACAAGGAGGATCTTGGAATTGTTGTAGATCCCAACCTGAATATGAGACAACAGTGTGATGCAGCTGTAAAAAAGGCAAATGCTATTTTAGGCTGTACTAAAAAAAAAGTATAGCCTCCAAATCACATTAATTAGTAGCGTCCGTATATTCTGCACTGGTTAGGCCTCATCTTGAGTGCTGTGTCCAGTTCTGGATACTTCATTTTAAGACATATGCTGGCAAACTGGAACCAGTTTAAAGGAGGGCAAAAAGGATGATTAGGGGACTGAAAACCAATCTCTATGAGGAAAGACTGAAAGAACTGGGCATGTTTAGCCTTGGGAAAAGACAACTGAGGGGAGATAGGATAGCACTTTTCAAATATTTGAAAGGTAGACATATAGAGGAGGGGCAGTGTCTGTTCTCAATCATCCTAGAGTGAAGGACACGTAATAAATGTAACATCCTAAATGTTAGAGCAGTAGGCAATGGAACCAATTCTCTCATGAATATTTGAGCAGAGAATTTGACTGTATGGTTTTGTAGGTTTCTTCCATTATTCTGTGATTAAATCATATTGCAGGTGGGAAACAGAAGGCTTGATCCTGTAAACGTTGACAGCTCCAGAATTAATAAACTCAGGACAATTATAAGTAAGGTCCCATGGCAGGAGACTCTAACAAGAATAGGAGTCAAAGAAAAGTGGGAGTTTCTAAAAAATGAAGTTCTAAAGGCACAAATAAAAACATTTACAAGAAAAAAAAAAGGGTGGGAGACGGCAAAGGAGGCCACTGTGGCTTCACAAAAAGCTCAGACAGGATCTGAAAACAAAAAAGGGACACGTATAGGAAGTGAAAGGAAGACCAGGCCACAAAGCAAGAGTATAGACAAGTAGCAAGGAATTGCAGGGATGGCATTAGGAGGGCCGAGGTTAGCTAAAAACACTAAAAGCAACCCAAAAAAGCATTCTTCAGGTATGTACATAGCAAAAGACAAAGAAAAACAGTGGCTCAGCTACTCAGTGGAGATGGAACAATGATAACAGAAGACAAAGAAAAGGCAGAAGTGCTCAATTTCTATTTCAGCCCAGTCTTTTCCCAAACTATGACCATCCATGCACATGTGAAGTGCAAGTGCAGGGGGCAGGATTGCAGCTGGAGATGGATAAACAACTAGTCAAGTACGTTGAACAAGTTCAGATCCCTAGGGCCGGGTGAACTGCATCCAAGAATATTGAAGGAACTGGCTGAAGAACTCTCAGAACCACTGTCCATTATTTTCTTGAAATCATGGGAAATGGGTGAGACACCAGATGACTGGAGGAGGGCTAATGTTGTCCCTATCTTCAAAAAGGGCAAAAAGTAGGAACCTGGGAACTAGACCAGTTATGCTGACATCAATCCCAAGGAAAATTCTGTAATAGATTTTTATGCGCCACTATGCAAACACCTAGAAAACAAAGCAGAAAGAACTAGAAGCCAACATGGATTTCTCAAGAACAAATCCTGCCAGGCTAATCTGATCTCATTTTTTTCATTGGACAATCTCCCTGATTTTGTAGACATAGTATATCTTGACTTCAGCAAAGCTTTTAACAAAGTGCCCCATGATATTCTTATTAGCAAGTTATCTAGGTGCGGAACAACTGTCAGGTTCTCAATCACACAGTTGGCTACAGAATCATACACAGAAGGTGATGATTAATGGCTCCTTCTCAAACTGGGAGGAAATAACAAATGGAGTACCCCAAGACTCAGTCCTGGGCCCAGTGCTCTTCAACATTTTTATTAATGACCTGGATCGGGGGTGCAAGGAATGTTAAACAAGTCTGCAGATGACACAAAATTGGGTGGAATAGCCAATACCTTAGAAGAGAGAAACAACATTCAAAATGATCCGAATAGGCTTGAACACTGAAATGAAAACAACAGAATGAAATTTAACAGGGATAAAGGCAAAGTATTGCATCCAGGAAAAATAAACAAAGCACAGTTACAAGATAGGGGGTACCTGGCTTAGCCATACTTCGAGCAAGAAGGATCTTGGAATTGTAGATCACAAGATGAATATGAACCAATGGCATAGTGCAGATACGAAAAAGGTAAATACTGTTTTAGGGTGCAGAAGTATACTCTCCAAATCCCATAATGTACTAGTTCCCCTCTATTAGGCATTGATTAGGCCTAAACCCACTAGTTCCCCTCTATTTGGCATTGATTAGGCCTAAATCCAAGTACTGTGTCCAGTTCT